ACACATGAATGGCATGACTCTTTTTTTTTTTTTCACACAAAAAGAAAAGAGAAAAAGGAAACCACCCACATTTTAATTTAGCATGAGCCAACTTACAGAGCATGGAAATTCACTTTCATTCCCAGGAGTGGCACGTGTGCAATTAGCAATGCAGTGTATATACAAGAAGCCATGCCGTTAACAGTTTATCTCAAGTAGCTTGGTGTCATTTACAAAAGGAAGAAATTCCTGCCTCCAGAAGGAACAGAAGGAGATGGACTGATGAAATCACAGAGAAACACTAAAATTACTAAATCCACAACAGCTCGCCTTATTTTTCTTGGACCCAAACTGTCAGGGTATAAACACTATTTGTTTCTTTTTTAAAACATCTATAGTTTTGCTGTAAATATTAACAGTGTATAAATTCTAACAGAAAAATAGAATAAATGTTGATAAGGCACTGCCTCTTAGAACACAAACAGAATATTGCAAATGCATTTAACATCATAGAGGTCTCAAGGGACTTCACCCTAGAAGAGGAGGGAGGGGTTCTGGGTGGGGGGGGACCTTTACTGATTCTTGTATATTAGCAATTATAATGTTTGTATATGCAAAACTGCTAGCTTGATTTTAAAAAAGCAAATCTTTAAAATCTGCTGCAAATTTAAATAATTCCCAAAATGAGGAATTCTGTAGTTCTGTGAAAAAAAAATTTTCTTCAGAATACTAATATTTTGATGCATGTGTATCACCTTATTTTGATTAAATCTTTTCCAATTTTGCAAACACTACCGTATACTGCAACACAGAAGATTTTATCTGTAAACAAAAAGCCCTTCATCTAATATTTGTTGCTATTGCCAATTTTCCAATTAAATGACCTAAAAATGGAAAAAAAAAACCTATACAGTAGTTGCTTTAGGGGGAGGGGGTGCTGTTAGTGCTTAAAAGGGGGGTAATGCTTGCCGCTTTAGAGGTGGATGGTGCTCATAAGGGGCCCCAGTCAGGGGTGTTTAAAATGGACTGAACAGAAGTCCTTAGCTAGTAGAATGGCAGCACGCTGTAAAATTCTCACTGTATCGTGTACTGGCTATAAGATGTAGACACCTTTCAGTAAGCCAATCATTTGTAACCATTCTAGCAGTGTCATACTAGGTTAATAAGGCTGCAGTGTTTTAAAGGGCATTTTTATTTGGGTTTTGGTGAAATTCTTTAATTTGTTGATTATATTCATATGAAATCAGCATTCATGGACACATAGCTCTAATGACATATGTATGAAAAACCATACACTGGATGACCTAGTCGATTATTTAAGCATAAAATAAATTGTGTTAAACTCTTCACCTATCTGTGCTCTACCGTGTCCTTGTGTTCTCTGGCAGAAAATCACTGCCTAACTCCTTATCATTTGGCAGCACCGATCCTCCTCACCAATCCTATTGGTGCCTCTGCCTCGGCGGTCACTAAGGAGATAGTCCCCCTAACATTCCATTCTGCCCTGCAAACTCCCAATCTACAAAAATGTGGAGCATTTCATAGAGGAGCCATGAATTAAAGATCAATGACAATTGATCTTTGCCCGCATCTGGGTTGGGCTGTCCCACCACCACCCCTCAAAAGTGGGAAGTTGGAGCTATTAGAACCGGCATGCCCAGAATGAACCACTCCACTTGCCGCTGTTTTAGCCCATAAAGCAATTGTTTGTTTTTTCCATTGACATTCATTGTCAGTGCTTAGAAGTTAGGAAATTTTACACAGTTACCAGATTTCTAACTTCTCTTGAAAAGATTTGGCCTCACTGCCAGAAGGTACCTTCTGGGGCCATGTTGCCCTCTCCAGCCAGTTGTATGGTCTCCAGGCACCACAGTCTGTATCATTATCTTTATTTTTATTTTTTTATTTTTTTTTATCCTCACCAGAGGATATTTTTTCATTGATTTTTTAGAGAACAGTGGAATGGAGGAGAGACAAATATGGAATGTGCCCCTCCCCCTGCAGCAAAATTATCCTATGACATTCTCCCCACCCCAACCTACCCAGGCAGAAAGGTTTTTAAAAGAAACTTACCCCAAAAGCCTCTCTGTTAAACGAGGATCAGAATACAGGTGTCCTAACTTCCCATATAAGAGTTACGGATTGTGAAGGCACAGTCCTTGACAGAAAGGTGTTTATTCTGAACTAGAAGCTTGAAATGTGCTTGTCTGGGTATTAAATGGGTGTTATGTGTACATACCTGAAAACTTGACTTCAGGACTATCTGATGAGCTAAACTTAAGGTCAAGCAAAAGTTCATAAATTTAATCAGAGAAGTAGCCAAAATAGGATGATCAAGATTTTATTTGTATCTGTGTATATGTATATATGTGTATGCATGGATTGAATTGGGAGCATATGTTATATATTCCTAATACTGTCTTTGACCTGCTGGCTTATAAAATTTAAGCTTTTTCCTCAATTGAGGAAAAAAAATTTGATGATAAGATTCCTGATATTTGCTGGTTTTCAATTTTATATTCTTACCAAATTCCTGAGTTTGTTCAATTAAAATGTAGTATCACTATTAAATTGCCAAGTTATGGCAATATACTGTGCAGGGTTATTCTACCATTCCTAAGAGGGACCTACTTCACTGAACACATAAGCAGCCGCCTTCTTTCTTCTATTAATAAATACTACCACAGTGTCCTGGTATTCCAACATGTTCATCTGGTATTCTCCTGGGTTCCATCGAGACAGGTTTTTCTCCAGGGCAAATAAAAAAGTTGTTTGCTTGCCTTTATGAGCATCAGGTCACAGCAGAGATATGTGAGAAGCTCAGAAATATAATTTGCCAAGGTGATAATTCTCTGAAGAAGCCACTGATCCAAAAGCTAACTTCCTGAGTGAGTCTTGGTGTTCTTGATTCTGGCATTTTAAAAGGTGTGTAATTTCCTAGTCATATGGCACTGCTCCTTGCTCATGAATTTATGATCAAATAGTCCAGAAATAAACATGTCTAACATAGAGATTTGAACCAGACTCTCCAAGAGTTCTTTTGGTAACAGAGACCAAAAAACGAGAGAGAGAGAGAGAGAGAAAAGACAGTGGCATAATTGATTTACGTGGTTACCTAGCTAACCATGCACCAATACAAAATAAATTAATAACAGAATGGACTCTGACTAACATCCTTAGTAGTAGGTCCTATAGCCTTTGGTTCTTTAACAATTAAATACAGACCATTCAAAATAGACTAAAATGAAATTTACCGTTATATCTGCCACACTCAATGACCGACAGCCACGAGTGAAATGCACGACTAGGTGATCCTGCAGTGAAGAAATTTTACCCTTCATTCCTTGGTGCTTTCTGCATTAAGGAATAAATACCCCAAGGGTTGCATTTCCAACAGGACATCCTGAGACTCCTAATTCCTCAAAGGAGTTCCAAAGCAAAGCAGAGCTGAACATGCGGAGAGGATTATAAAGGCGCTGGGAGGAAGCACTAGGCCATGAACGGTACACCAGAAACAAGAAGGGAACTGCCACGTCTTTTTCTCCAGGACTACCTTAAAACGCCCTGTCCGTATCCCAGAAAAATAAGTGAGCTCCCTGCCTACTTTCTCTCAACATCATCCACTTCCCTTCTGAAATCTAACTCAAGCAATGGCATAATTCTGAGAGCTGGGAAGGAATGAGGACTTACAGGCTTCCTGCATCTGAGGCACACTACCAGGTCCTCATACTAGACTGTGTTCCCTGAGAGCAGGGACTTTGTTCTGCTGCATCCACAGTAGGTGCTCAGTAAGTATTTGAGTACATGAATGAGTCAAACATCATAGGGCAAAGAACAGGAAATGGGAAATGTTACTCTGTGCACCGTTTTGCGCACCATTTTCTTTACAGGCTCAAGCAGGTTGGAAATTAAAGGAAAGCACTGCTTTTGAGTCTAATAACTTCATTCACTGAGAACTAACTTGTGTCACCATCCTCCACTAGCCCTTTCCAGCTGCACAATCCCTTATTAGCCACAAAGTCTTAAATAATTGGGCTTGGATATCCAATACCACATCAGCAAACAGCACACCAGTCATGCTGCTGAATCAGGCATCGTTCCCATATTGATGGGCTACTGTCCTCATCATCATCACTGACTGGCCATGGAGAAACCAGGCAAGAGTGTGGAGACCTTGCCATGATCCCTAATCTCCATGAATGAGTCAGATTCGTCTCCTCTCTTTCAGACATGGTATCCAAAGTTTTTAAAACTCTGCCTACCTCAACAATCCCACCTCAGTGTTGCCAGTGTTTGTTGGGTTGGTTAAAGACAAGAAGGTACAGAAATTACATCCTAGGAATCCCTGGGATGCATACTGCCTGCAGAGGTGTTTTGTTTAGACCAAACAGAATTTGAAAAAAGATGGCCAATGTTTTTTTTAATCAGGAGATTTTAGATTTTAAAAAAATGAAATTTGAATTCTCTTTAAAATCTAAGGAAGTGACAATGTTGTTTTTGAGATCCCTTATGATAACAACTACTTGGAGCAAAAGTACACCTGCCATGTTTGGACAAGCATGTGTTTTCTTGTTCGCCATTGTCCCTCCTTTTTCTCTTGCCTCCAAAACACAATCTACTTTATTCATTTTTATTCCCAGTCTCTGTTTGATTGATTGAGAGAAGGAGAAGGCAGCAAAAAAATGAGTTCGTGCTTGAGTTCTTTTTATGGCAAGCAAAACATCTGCCTTATTTTTATCCTCAGTGCCAAGCAGAAGATGGAATAAAGAAGGGAGTGAGAAGAGAAAGGTAGACGATGTGGTTTTTTCAAACCCATCCATCCACCCACCTCATTCAACATGTGTTGAATGCCTGCCACTTTTCAGATGCTCTCCCAGGTACAGAATACATCTGTTTCCTGCC